CAGGACAAGTCGTTTGCAAAGTGACAATTTTTGGGTGGATGGCTGCGCAGATTAGCTCCCCATGTACATGTATGACAACTCCAGGAAATTCTGTGCCGTTGCATAACATCTGATGCACATGTAGAGTATACAGTGTCGGCAACTTTGAGCAGGCAATCAAAGCTTTTACAACCGTCCAGGTTTCATGAAGGTCATAAAACAGTTGTTGTATAAGCCTTACCTGCTATTTAGAAAATCTCTGTGAACAGGTTGTCTTCAGAATTTGAAGACAACCCTTATAGGAAAAACCTCTTTTTTTTTTACCTTGAATAATTAATCATTAGACTCTGTTTTCAGACAGGTGGTTTTGGAACTTTTAAAGCGAGCTTCAGATGTTAACCCTTCTCCCTGCAAAGGAACTGGATATTTACTAATTCTATCATACCACAACTGGGTATCTGAATACGGATATTTGTCACAACTTGCATGGTACATGTACATGCACATGCAGTGTAAAATTGTCCTTTTGTGTAGTGCAGATGCACTGCAATTACTTTCAACCCTGAATAAATTAAACAAATAAATTTTTTAAAAATTGCCTCTTTGATGACATCATTAGCTGTGCAAGCTAGAGACAACTGACTACAGTGTGTTTATGCCATGTATGTTCTAGAGCCGACTTAATGAGTGAAGAGCTTGCCAACAGGCTTCACCTAAGTTGTAATCTCAGACAAGCAAAAGTCCAGACATTCACACGTTTGATTGAAGTCGGAATACAGCGACACGTACTTCACATAAGAGGGTTAGCAAAATGCCTGGCTGATTTCCATTACGACTCTAACCAAAAGCATTGCACTTACAATGCTGCAAAACATGTAACACTTGGAAGATGTGAGACCAAGGTTCATGCGAATGGGATGCATTATAGTAAGCAGACACTATGTACATTGAAGCCATTGAAAGAAAATGCAAATATGTAGTTAATATTTAATTTGAAACTGTACAAGTACAACTGTTACGGGGAAAAAAATCGAAGATTATGTTTCAGTACAAGCCGGGGCATATTGAAAGTGATGTCGTGCACCTCTCAATTTGTAACTAAGGGCTCTTGCTCTGAATATTAAAGGAAAGGGCCAAACACAGTTCTAGAACTACTTACATCTCACCTGGAACTTCCTTCAACCTGTTCACCACACACAACATTTTGTACTGTATCCTTGTAGAGAGAATGCTTTGTTCTTATGTACTACAACACTCGGGTGTGAAATGCGGTATTCAAAATGCTCCCACTTGAACCAGAGTTACTTTCCTGGGTTGAAATTTGAAGTGAACCAATTGTCCCTTACATAAAATACTTCAAATTCCGCCTTTTTGGGGTACTTTGTTGAGGGAAATCCTTGTGGAGACCTTTTCAACCAGTTGTTCTGGCTCTCCATGGATCTCAACAAAGCATCGTATTTGAGCAAATTACTGTTTCTCATTACACACACCTGCAGACAAAAATCTGCTGCATTCCTACAATTATCTAGAACAGCAAGGTGTCTTGCTGGAAATCCTGCTTTGTTCAACATTAGAATTAAATATTCAATAGCACCTGCAGTGTGTCCAATCCAGAATTACACATATACAAAAAGGACCTTTTATTCTCCGCGGATCTTAGATGAGTTTCAACAGAAATATACGCATTGTTTGGGTCTTGTTGAGTTGAGCATGATTAGGAGTAGCCCTTGTAAATAATTTGAAACTTTCAAAATGGTTTTACAAGAAAACATGCTGAAGTTAAAACCTTGACCATATCTCTTCTTTTATGAGTAAAGGGCATCGATAGAAACATCATGTAGTCTCTATTTATCTCTTTCATTCTCTGAAGAAGTCTTGTAATCAGACACTGAGTCGTTTTCAAAATGTTGCACATGTACCAGTCTTCTTTCCAATTCCAAATTACCCGAATGAAAGACGTCATTCAACCATTGGAACATACATGTAGGATCATGGTCATGTGTTCAATGCAGAAGCAGTTATTAGTTTCCGACCAGTACCACAGTGACGGGTCGTTATACTCAGGGATGGGCATCTCATGGTCAAAATGAGAATGTATACAATCATTCTTGGGGTTTTTTTTCCCAGAGAACAGACAATGGAGACTTCTCCAGTATCTTGGTCCTGGCATGGGGCCAAGACTGTTAAGCTCTTAATGTTCAGGATGTCAATTTCACACCTTTCACCACTTGCCAAAGTGTAGTTGAGCCCTGAATATTGGACTACCTCCTTTTATGATAGGTGTACTTGGGCCTCCATGGTCCCACACGACCCAGGTCACAAGAAGCGACAATGGACAGTCTCATTTACCTTGTGAATTGGGCTAGCGCATCTACTTCAATTATCCCATCTACGACGGGGAGCCAGCCTAGGTTGTAAGATTTCACACCAGAAGTTCATTTATGATATTTACGATGAAACCATAGAGCTGTGACATATTTTTTACAACCATCCTGCCCAAGGACATGAATACTTATTCCACACGTGGCATTTGCGTTATTGTGAACATGAGGAATTTGTGAAAGAAATTTCAGCTACCGCCATCAGGTCCAAGTGTGCAAAAAAATGCGTTGTTCAGTTTGCTACGGTAGGATTATTTTACAGTCGCTTCACCCATTTTCCACTTGGTCCACAACCACTTGGCACATTTGCCGCTTTGCCCATTTACAACTTCGCACATTTGCCGCTTTGCACATTTACCACTCTCACTCATTTGCCCACGTGCCACTTCGCCCTCGTGCCATTTCAAAACCCATGGCTTCTGTCAAAACTGAAGAGAGATAACAACACAGAAAACCATTTACCCAACCCCTCCTATATCCATCTGGAATGCAAGTGAATGATTAGAGATCAACTAGAAATATTGGAATATGGTGGATTTCTGAGAATGTCGATGTAAAGTCAATGTAAAGCTAAAAGCAGGCACCCCCAAAAAACGCGAGTACTGACTCGCTGACAGCGGGTTTTTTTGTTTATTCTCCCCTCGTGTAAAAATTTGTTTCTCCAACCAATTTTTGGCCAGAGCCATAACCAACAACCATGCTATATCATACCTGTGTGTTGTTTCAGTGTTTAGCCTTGGTGTACACATCAGTGGATATTCAAACTGGATACCATGGTATAGTGGTACTGAATTAGGCCCGTTTATTTTTGGCCAGCCAATTCCATCATAATGCTAATCAAATGACAATATGATTAGCAAATTTGCTTTTATTTTCTTATTTCCATCACTGTTTATGCAAGTGAGTATTTTCGGCTTTACATGAGGTCTCTGTGCACGCTGTTGCAAACTTTGGAGCACTGTAACAGAAATCATTTTATATGATTTTATTGTGTCTGGCTTTTGATTTCTTGATTATTACAACTGAAAAATTGCATGCAGTAGAAAACAAACACCTGTAAAAAGATCTAAAGATTTGTAAATCATACTTGCTTGTGAAATTGGGGCATGCATTATTATCACATGAAATATTGTGCAGCCAAAGTGGCACATACGGGGGAAGAGCTTGTGGGCAAAGAGGTAATTGAGACCCTGAACGTTAGTTTCCAAATAAATGACGATGTCAACCAACCTAGGCTGGAGGGTTTCGGAGAAAACATCCAAACGGGATACCAAGGCCCTGGCTATGGATAAATGGAATAAAGTGCTGGTGCTGAGGTTTATGTGGGGGACACGGGCATGATTTTCAATAAGGCAGGACACATAATTAATATAATTTCTGTAGTTGTGCCATTATCTCATTTTATTGGGGGGGAGGGGGAAGAAAGGGGGAGGGAGGAGGGGTGTTGCATCTCTTCCACATTCTCTCAGTCACAATGATATCACATCGGCCCAAGCATACACAGTCATATGGCATATGGGCATGGCATATGAGACAAAACCTCTTTATGCTCCTTGCTGCTTTGCAGAAGTGTGTCAAATTCCTGGATGTGGGACCGCAAGACTGTACAGATATCATCACAAGGTTGTTTTCATTATTTGCAAGTAGGCCTGGCCTGCTAGCTGGCTAGGCAATCTATTTGACCAAACTGAAACTTTTCACATTTGTTTATGAAAAAAATAGGGAGCCTACCCAGGCATACAATTCCAAGACATAGACCGCGATAAACATCTGGGACTTTCACAAAATGGCGCGTGGCAACGGCACCACACCGATAAAAACAACTGCGACCATGGCGACATGTGTGAACCAGCCAGTCAGAGGCTTCTGTTTCTTGAGCAGCATAATGTTCAGTGTACAGTTTCGATATGGTCGCAGCCACCAAACGCTATTTGAGGAAAAATGGCATCTTTGAGCTCGTTGTCGAGGGGAAATTTCTCTTTTCTTCGCAGATGCAGATATGTGAGTAAACCATTATAATTATTGTAATCTCCGATTTCACTTAATCCATAAACGGTCGCATCAGACATTTTAAGGACAGTTTCAGAGGTGAATGATTCGGGGTATGAGCTATTTTGAGTAAACTAATTAATAGAAGCAAAAGCCTATGGATGGTACTTAACTTGGACCCTACTATCGCCTGACAATGTCCAAAGGCAAAGGCAAATTGCACAAGTTGTAGGGTCCAAGTTACTTGGACTCTCATTAGGCTAAGGGCTAGCCCAGGTGGACTCCCTGACCATACTACGTAATGAAATGAAGACAACGTCAAACCTGGGCTAGGCTAGGGGACTAGGCTACTTAGAATTTTTCAGACCAGTCTCACAAGGTTTGTGCATAGGGTGTCAAGTGGTGTCCATTAATGGAACCTTTCCCCAGGCGAAGTACCAGTGGAGTGACAATAGATGGCACTCCTAGCTTAGGTTACCAGATCGTAAGTTGATCCTGTTAAAATCGGTGAATCATGCGTGCCGGTATGGTTTGACCCCCAGCCGAACTTCACATCACAACATTCTGTGGTAGGCCTACTCCCCTCGTGAATTCACAAGACTAGCTCGTGTTTATCAGGCTTTGCAAAAACGGAATCAGATAGTAAATTACCTCTTCCATTGAATTACTTGGTGCCAGGGTCTGCAGACGATCGTGTCCGTTGTCTATCGTCAACGAATCGGGACTTAAAAATCCTCCGTGCCGACCGTCCAGCGCCATCTTGCTTGTCTTAATCTTCATCTGTGGTTGGTCACGTGACAGGTTCTGTCACACAATATCACGCATGCGCATTCAATTTCATTGGAATTAAAGGGCTAACAAGGTGCTATATTACTTGAACATACACCTGTTTGCACTCAAAATTCAACTACTCCGTCAGAAACAAGATGCAACTGCAACTTCCAGGCTGTTTTCTTTCTAGTTCATGTAGTCGTCCGGTTGCAGAACTCTTTGGCGCAGTGGCAACAAATTTGGGCTGAGGTAAGGCGCCTGTGAGGAAAGAATAGAGGGCGCTATACGAGACCAGTGGGAGCTACATGAAAAGTAGCACCCTTTCTTCGCTGGTCGCCCCGCCCAGCGCCCGAACACTGTCCGAGCGCCCAAACAGGGCGCTGGGAAGGGCTGATGGCTTGCACTGTAATTGACTATATTTTGCACGACCTGTGACGAGGTCATCACTTCCTGTTGGCGAAGCGTTACTTAAAATTTTTGACGAGAATATAATATCAAATTAGTGCTCTGAAATATATGATTGGCGAGCTTTTGGTAACTGAGTACCTTCTTCATTCTCGTCGGTATTCTGATCACGGTGCTACGCAGCCCCTCCATATTACTTAATTTTTTTGGTTCGCCAATGGCAATGCTTTTGGCACAGGCAGAGTGTCGGCTAGTATGATAAAACATGGCCTTGGTACAATCACAGCGTGGTAAATTATTTTTTCACGAAGGCCGAGTTCGGGCGGTTTGTTCCCGTATGTTCACGAACAGCTCGATTTGCTATTCGTGGGTCGGCCGCTCGAACGCCGGGAACAAACACTGCCGGTTATCGCTGGTAGTTAGTGACAAGCAACATGCAACATGGCGGCGTCCCTGTAGGCTACGTTATTCGAGAGTTAATGTTTGGATGGGCTGAATTCTTTTCTATATAAACAGGAATACTCATTTCTGTGTTACGGAAAATAATTAATGCTAATTTTGCAAAACTTCCCATTGTCTATGGCTTTGGAAGCCATCTCTCTACTTTTTGCAGCTGTTCAAAAATCAAATTCTCACGAGTTTTTCCGTGTGTTCCTGTAAAACCCTGATGAGGAGGTGGTGTGTGATCCTGTTCCGAGAACAGGGTCTTGAGTCGTATTCCCCGGGGCCGTTCGAGCGCGAGAACAAGAAACCCGTGTCAAGAACAGGCCGCCCGAACTCGACCTAAGTGTCACTGATCACGTGTCTTTTGGTGATTATTTCAAAGGGTGAACGAATAAAGAGTAGTGAGAATGTTTCCACCAATGACGAACAAAAGGAAAAAAATAAAGAATTGATAATCGCCGCTTGTGTAACGCATTGAGCGAGCTCGCGCGCCTAGCAGAAATGTACATACATGTACATATACATGTACACTGTACGTACAGTTTGCTTTATGTGTTAGCTGTGACCCAGTGTGACGTATTTCCTTCACTAAATCTATGCAAGGCCATCACCCTTGATCCCAGCGCCCTGTTCGAGCGCTGGTCGCCGGCGACGAGCAAATAGCATTCTTAGCGTATAGCACACATGTTTACAGAGACGTATTACCGCCCTGAAATATAAAAACATATTTTTCGTTTACATCTGTGTTAGCTTCACATACGCACGCGAAGACTAATAATACCTACGTATTCATGTACGTATCTGAAAGTAGCACATACATGTACTTGACAGTTTTTGCGTGCATTATTCTTGTATTGTTAGTTTCACGTACATAGTTTTCACGAAACTCTATCGCGTACTACGTGATTATGCAGGGGAAAAATTTTAATCCATTCACCCCAAAATATATTACCTGAATTTTGTTCAGTGTTTTATGGGGAAAGAGGCCACTGTACACCACATAACAGATTACTCTTCATAATTCAGATCTACTTGTCGGGGGTAAATTTGTGCCTGGGGCTTGCCATAGTGGGGGGAGGGATGACGTAAATAAAAAATGCCCAGCATCCCCAATATGACACTAGGGGCGCTGTTCATAACATAAATACATGTGTATATATATTTCATATGCATACATACCTGACTTTACATCAAAATGTTTTGTTTATAGCCTTTTTAATAGTCTTTCTTCGGTGCTAATGAATACATCTTGGTTATTTTCTTGTTATGGGTAGTCCGAAAACTTCCTGACAACCAGCCCTAATTTTTTTTCTCAACACGAAAGGTTGATGTGTGGGTGTGTGTGTGTGGGGGGGGGCTATTGAATCACCCCACCCCCCGGACACACACAGGGCGTGTGAGGGAGGGGATAACTCCCATCCCCCGAGATTCAAGCTCACTTCCACAAAGCCAACCTTTGGGGACCGCAGCCGGAGTAAGGAATTGTAACAACAGCGACCCCAAGAGGCAACATGGACAAGTTAGACTTATGAACGGATCTTGGTCTTGCTTTCTGTGTCACTCGAACTCAAACCATGCTCGGACGCTCGTAGTCGAACCTTTTCTGCGAAATCCACACGTAACTTACTCAGCGTATGGATGATCTCCACTATGTTGGGCTGTTATATTCAGACTAATGGTCTAGTCTCTACTTAGTTACGAAAAGGGCTACGGGTAATCAGCGATGCAACCATGCCCATCAATCCAAAACAGTTGACCTGATAGTGTAACCGTTCGAGTGACATTAGTCGAATTACGGCCGTCAATCGAATTCGCCCCAAGGTCATTCATGCTCAAGTCTTCTTTAATAGACTTCAGTGATTCCGGTAGCCAAGAGTTATGGTGTTCCAAAGACGACTTGTCGCCGTCGCGAACAAGTGGGCTCATAAGGGTCCATATTGGGAGATCTTCTCCACGCCGGGCATTGGTAGAGTCTGCGAATTCATCTTTAACCGATCAAATTCATTTTCCGCGGCAAAAAACGACTGCACTGGTGCCCTTCATAAAATAAAACGTTTAGAATTAGGCCTATGTTTTTCATCTTGAAAATTTATTACCAATTTGTATTTTTGAAACTTCTTCTACTGGGCTTGTGTATGTCTTGATGATCAAGTACAATGACTTTTTTGCGAAAAAATTATGATTTTTTCTGACTGCAGGCTCCCATCCATCACCCATAGGATGGTGATTAATAAAGAATTTATTTCTCTTGGCGCAAATATCTACCTAATTAGCTGGAAGTGCAGTTAACCATGTCCCAACAATAACACCCCCATAGGATTGTGCATGTGTGGATTGTTCATGCATACCCAAGATGCATTGCGAATATCTCTCAGGTTTATTACAGTGTCAGTGGCTTGTGAAGAATTTTTGCTGGGCGGGGGGGGGGGGCATAATGTATAATTTCTTTCGGGCAGGACATAGGCTGAAATTTCCTTACGATTGTTTTTCAAGCAATGCCCCCCCCCCCACGGCACAGTATGCACTGCTTATAATTCCCGGTCCACGCATGTGCAGTATACACCATGGAGGAATAAAAAGATGGAAAAGAGCTCACAATGTGGGGCGCCCTTATGAGCTCACGGAAGTATTTGTATACAAGCGGTTAAAATGAGAAAAATGCGACGGCGACGTGACGTTTGTGGAACACCCTGTTGATTGGTTAGCTACAAGTACAGTCTACAAGTGGGCTAAAGCGAGCACTCAAAACGTGTTTTTGCGTCAGACGGGTATAATAGGCGCTAACGTATACACATTCGCGCGGAAGGTGTTGACACTGCGTACACCTTGAGAATGGGGTCCGAGGCAATGCGTATGTACACAGAGCCGTCAATTTGGTTTTACAGATAATAAATTTCTGTTTATGCCTTCCAGTGTAACCAAAAACCCGTTGCAACACATTATCTTTTTGCATCTAACCACAACCAGAGCTAACACATCAAAGGGCAATGTGCCACGAACGCCATTGCGTACGGGAAGAGGTCGGAACCACAACGTTGTATGTCATGCGTATATAGGGAGCGTCCGATTAGCCTCGTTCCCACCGCTGTATTGTCTGGGTAGGTCTGGGTAGCTCCATGTCGGCTAATAGAACGCACCCTATCATAGGGGAGGAGACTGTTTAAGAAGTCGGTATTCGGTTCATACGTACTTTCGGGCGGAACCTGTGTGTGTAATCCGGGGAGTAGACTTGAAGTTGTTCGTTGTTCGCACGCCACCGCCATCGGCATGCAGAGCCTCGAACCGGCAGCTTGTACAATTGCGTCAGAATCGCCCTGTCCAATTGCATATGGCATAAGAACTAACTAGCACGCTCAAAATTACATAAGCAACATACACCGGAATCAGTGAACTGACTGTATTTTATTGTGCAAAGCTGCCAGATTGAGGCTTTGCATACCTATGGCGGCAGCGTGCAAAGAGCGAATGAACAGGTGTAGTTTTTGCCCAAGTCTGGATTTACACTGTTTCCGTCCCCGTACACCACGCTGGCAACATGCGCTGGCAAACACAACCGTATAGTAGGAACACTTTTGACAGCTTTGATTTTAACAAAATAACGCGGGCCAGCAGTGCTACGTGTGCATGAAAGTGTGTTGGTTAAGCCTTCTACAAACATCACCATGGGTTCATACAGCGGCGTATCAAAACAGACTGCCGCTTTGGACCCATTTTATAACAAGATGTTAGGGTAGCAAACAAGTATCAGTAGCCTTACTCAGCATCCTTGCTTTTTCGTGGTGCTGTTTTCTTAGAGTCTTGGTGTTAATATTATTATTTGTTTTTTTAAAAATCTGTTAGTGGGGCAAGTTGCTCCCCCCGCTGGATACGCCATTGGGCTCTTACACACTCTCGTGACAAAGAAATACATGTATACCCAAAATGACGATGGTTTTGATGCAAATGTCAACTTTATGTTGCATCTCAACTCCTTTATTATCCAATAAAATTACATTCATAAATACCCATTGTCTCCCTTTTGTTAACATTTGATAATGCCCGCCGCGTAAATCACGCACTGCACCTGAGAGCACGCGAGGCAGTTCAATCCATTCTGATTAGTCAAGAGTCCGTGTACACGCGGCTTATATAAGGAGATAGTCTTGTTCCCTGCCCAAAGATTTCCTGACGACTCTTGTTACAAAATCTTAGGTCAGGCATTACCCACTGATATAAATAATTATGACACAAGGGTCGGGGGTCATAAGTTGAGAACCCTGGTATATTCGATTTCATCAGTGGCAACATCTCAAAAATGAGGCTTTTCCCATATCCAGTGGGCAATACTGCAAGTGTATCCCCACTGTGAGCATGTTTCAGGCACAAAGCCTGCGTTGGTCGAAGACAGAAAATTCTGGATTTCGCCTGGGATGTCAGCCAAGGCGACCTTCGATTTCAGTGTATAAAGTCAAATATTGTAGGATCAAAAGCTGTCAACATTGGGATACGGGAGTTTACGTTGAACAGCTAGCCTACCTATCCCGTCGGGAATAACCGAACATCAACGGTACCATCCGAACATGCCGAATACAGACAGGACGAAAGTGGTTTAAAAGTTATATTTGTTGCAACTGGGGGAAAAAATCAAGACAAAAACTTAAATATGACCCGATCAATAATTTTACCGCTGAGAGAGATAGTTTCAAACAGACAATGGCGTACAACTCTTAAGTACATGTATACCGCTATTTACCAGAATGGCGGGAAAGATCAATAACTATGAATCATGATGGTGCTGCTGACCATGAGACACACAATCAAATTACCAACAGGAGAAATATTCCGTCGTGATTTTACAACACTGCCACACAGCAATTTTACTCCACAGTAAGTACATGTAACCTGTTCGCTAAACAAACAGGTTACGACCATTGCTGTGGATTTCGAGGCTGTCAATTTCAGAAAATGGGATTATTAGGCAATATTGAAGAACAGTTTCAACGGGATCAAGCCAAAAGGAACACGTGTACATGTATAATTTACCAGCACAGTGGTGACAGTACTGCGCATTATGTCCTTAGTGTTCAAGTCATTATAATATAGGCCCATACTGTTTCAGAAACACCTGGCAATAAATATTTATAATATGCAGCATTGAGAAAAAGTGCATTTAGAAACATCGCGGTTCATTGGCTTAAGTACTAAGCCTGTCTAAAGTGCATCTGCGGTTATTTGGATTTGGTTGTACGTAGCGAACAATGGAACGTACATGTACACAAACCCCAGTTGCACTTCGATCGACCAAACGACTTAAAATAACCTGAGTATTTGGAAATCAAATCTACAGATAATACAACCTCGTGGATCAAATTGTGCTTCAAAAAGGTGCAGGTTGGTGCGGATATACATGTACATACAGACACACAGATGGACTACTCATGAAATTTGAAACTTCTAATTATATGTGACCTTTCCCTAACTGATTTTAATGTACCAAAATAAGAACGCAGGGACGAAGGAGTCTAAAAATGTGGTTGAAACTTTGGAGGGTATCGTCTTCTGGAGAAATAAACTAATCAGACCCGTAAGGTTTCAGTTTTCTCCCAGTCTGCTGTAGTATAGATATAAATGCTGCAGCAGATGAAGACAGCCGAAATAAAACAAGCGTTGAACAACAGCAAAGCCAGGACATAAGTCGGTGTCTCGTACTGCTCTCGTAAATTCTTCCCGACAATATTCCGCCAAGTTTTGATGACGTACTCGTTCACTTTGTAAGTGTTGTGTCGGAGTCCTTTGCCTATGCCGTGTCTCAAGGCAACCCTGACAGCGAGGAACTGTTCGTAGAGCGGCGACAGTTTCGGCTCCACCCCAAGTCGCTTCATGACTAAACCGACGAAGACGTCGTCCCACTGCAAAAACCGTACGTGCACAGATTCGCGGTACACGGATGAGGCCACATCGCCGGACATGGCGTAGCACGCGCCGTTTAAAAATGGCGCGTAGGACGGCTCAGGGTACATCTCATAAGGAGTGTACCACTTGGACTCTCTCTTCCTGTGGGGCCGCGGGTCAACCCGCAGATTCCCTTCAGCAAAGCTGGTCCTAGGCATTTGGGTCAGCCTAACCACCAGATTATAGATATTGAGAGTCATGTCTGAGTCGATGCTGAGCACGTAGCTTGCTTGGGGACAAAATGTGGCCACCCATTTAAGCCCCATGATGGTCTTGTGTGTCATGTTGTGGTAGGCGTCGATGAAATCTTCTTGGATGAAATCGTGGTGGTCGTTGTCTTCATCTCTCAGTTTTCTGTTGGTCGCTGGGTCTGTGGACTGGCCCACCAGGAACATCGTCAGGGTTCGTTGCCCCAGGACCTGCGTAACGCCTCCCCAGGTTTGTCGGATCTGCTGTCGGTCGTAAGTCTCGTTGAGCCGGCACTTGACGAGTATGACCAGGAAGATCCCGTCACCCGTGTCGTTTCTCCTGAAACACGCGTCCCGGTTGGCAATGGTGAAGCTGAAGGGATGGGGGTTGATCACTTCGTCGCTGAATAGCGGAACGGTGGTAATGTTGTCCCAGTTGGGAACCTTTTCCTTATAAGTCGGTGGCGATTCTTCCCTTTTCCGAGGTATATCTGACTTGTTCGAGGTTTCTTCTGATAAGTCCAATATGCCCGGAATTGTAGGTTGTGCAGTGGTCAAAGTAGAACTAGAAGGGCGGGCATCGGGAGCGATCACACTATAACCCACCAATAAACCCACGATAAAGATGTACACGAATACGATTGTGTAAAATATCCGCATTAACGAGTACGTCCTAAGGCACATTGTGCAGAAATGAATTTTACATACGTAACTCTCGATCTTCCCCGCTGGCTGTTCAGCATAACAGATCCAATATAGGGAGGTCCTAGCGTACGCCGCGGTTAGCTAGGCCTGCTAATTCACGAAGTGCTCACTTTACAACATACGATACTGACAGTGGAGTACACTTACAGTGACCTGTAAATTAAACCTCTTAGAAGTCGATCACATTTCATCCGACCTACTGCACTAACGACCCTGACGGTGCCTAACATGGTATAGTAGTGAAACTACTGCTACAATGATGTTTAGTATTCCTCTCGATATGCACAATAACCGGTCACAAGATTCATTTCCCGTACAAAGACAGGCCGTTTTGCAATCTGTGGCCACAGCGATTATCAACACGTGAATACCTTTTTAGTTCACACGATCGTTTTAGTGACACACGTCAACAAATTCGTTTTGTATTTCCGTATTCTGTCCTCCATCCATGCGTCGATGTACATGTACAGGATATGATTCACGTACGGCTCGAGACAACCAACCGACGAAGCTCGCACCGCACAGTACACAGTATGTATTCTGCACAGGGAAGTTCCCGTCGCATGACTCTGCAATGCCGGATGTCCCGTACATGAGATGTCGTCATTACTAGACTGCAGTTCACGGCGTACATCAAAACATAACAATGAAAATTTATGCAAATGAATAGTACTCGGTAACATGGTTGTTGTGTGACAAAATAACTCACTTGCGTCCTTTTCCACGAGCAGCGGCTTAGCATTTCAGCACGCCGTATGACTCACTTCCAGCATCGTGTCTTCGCCCTGTGCAGTGAAGTTGTACATGTGCAGGTATATCCCATTAGTTGCTGCATACAGTACGTAGACTGCATGTACATGTACATGTACATGTGCATGTATGTACAGTACAGTACAGTACATCCTGCCGATCGGAATCACTGCAGGTCACATAGCAATGAGTCCATAACATAAATTATCAATATCATCATGCCAGTGCCACTCAGTTGCCTGCAACTTCGACGACGTACAATAAAACCAACTTGGGACGAGAGTAAACGATCCGGAGAATGATAGACTTTTCAAGTCAGGGTCCCGTTCCACATCTCGCTATAGACCCGTTCTGCACAACATAATTATTACATCAGCTGGCTTCTTAAAACTGACGAGAGTCCATTTGTAAGAATTCCTGCATCTTGAACACTCGTTGGATAACCGAAAATGACGTGTGATCTGTAGGTTTGGTAAAACGTTCACGATGACGACAGCATTTAATGCTGGATTTAGTACTGGTCACCCTTGCGCAATAGATGACGAGCGCTTAATCGCTCGATTTTGTCAATTCATGGAGGAAAATCTTCCGTCCGCCATCATCCAAGGTCAATTTCGTAAAAATAGTCCGTAGATTATGAATTTGACGGGTGGTGACGATCGTGGGTTCATAGGTCTCAAAAAAATGTCTTGCCGTGCCACAGCAGTCCATGTAGGCCAAGAGTAATTTTATGTAGGCCTGCGTTCAGTGAGATCATGACGACTGGACTTGAACCGATCAAGCGCATGCTGCGCTAGCATTAGCAAGCTAGCTAGCCAGCCATTTGCCCCATGTCTGAAGTAGACGACTCCGAGTCCTCATCAAGTGCCATGACCGTGGCCTACTCTCTTCGATACAAGACCTTTGATCTTCAGTCGCCTGTTCGGAAAGGTTTTGTGATCGTGGAACGGCTGCACAATCTGTCTGGCATTAATTATGCTAAGCAGAAGTGATGGCGCGATGCCCGATTTCAGTCACGGACTCGTGAACGTTGTCATAATTTCAAAGTGCCAGTTCCAAATAGACCTATACTCTCTGCAACAGAGCAACCTGATAATTAAAAACGCCTAAGCTTTAAAGCTTGATTGAAAACCAAGAATAGCTAAGCAAATTTCATAGTTTCTGCACCATGAGCGACGAATCTCTCCAGTTGCGTATTATTTCACTGGGTGAAATGTATTTCGGCTCGGGCAGGTGTAAAATTCTCAGCCTCATTCTATGTCTGCTTGGAGAATTATAAAGTATACAGTGCTAAACTATGAGCAAGAGAAATGAATTCCGTTGTTAACCTGGAAAGTGCTTTTGTTCTCAAAAGTATTGTAATTTCCGAAGAACTCATGGCATTTTGCTAATCAATACTGTAGGACACTGTATAGGATAGGCCCCTAGGATGTACGGTTTGATGCAAACGTTGCGAATTACATTTTTTAGTTGGGTGCATGGCAGTCGCGCGGTGCGGCAAGTAGGATGTTTGCCCCAGGCCCCCCCCCACCGAAAAGGGAAAAACAAAGAAAAAACAATAGAAAAGGAAAGGTAAGAAAAGGGAAAAGGGAGCAAATCACCATGTAACCAGAAAAAAAATCGGATTTGAACCCTTCTACCGTTTGTAGTGGGCGCTCCCCCTAAAAAACACTTTGCCTACCCCCCCCCATTCTGACACCCTGTTTAATTATCTTTTGAACAAATGCTTAAAAGTTTATCTATACGAATTTCGGTACTAGGAAACATTCGTAAACACTTGTAATTATTCATATTAGGAAACTGAATTTGCAGGATTACACGGGCTTCTTTTGAAGGTACATTTCGCTCCAACATTCTTGCGTTGGTAACTGACACTTGAGTCCCAGTGTCCTTCTACTTGAAGTCATGGTAACGATGTCTTGACTGCAGTGCAAAACAGCCGAAGTGTGGTTAATAAGAAACGATTGACTTGGCATGAGGAAAATGCTAGAGGCAAGTTATGAACATTCGCCGACGTGAGAATGTGTAGCGGGATTACTCAAGTAATGATAAATTTTTCATTACTGATCTCATTTAATTGGACGAATTTGTTTTGCTTGAAGCCTAACGCCCCTTCCAACAACTTTGTTGAAGAAGATGCAGAACTTGCAAGCTTCATCTAATAATATGGATTCTTACGTAATATCTTAGCAACCTGCTTGGCAACCGTGACATGTTTTGGAAGCGTAGGAGAATTCGGAAACATAAGAAACTAATGTCGCATAATTCGTTATTACGCGCTATAAAGTTACCGCGAAAAACATGAAAAGGATAAAGTATATAGAAATCAGCACACATTTCTTCGACAAAGCAGCATTGGTTCCTTCTGATAAAAAAATGACATCGGCGTCCGTCGTTGAATAAATACAATAGGAACCATTTTGAGCATTTTCTTACATTTATTTTCACTGCTTCAATTATCAGGTTAGAAATAAACCTATAATAACACGTGCTCTAGTCGATAGCAGTTACTAGTAAGCTAGAAAGTCTTGTCGATGCTGTGGAAGTCTATTCCATCTTAAACGAATGATTGCATTGGTTGGCATCCAGAACCTCCGCTGAAAAAAAAAACAATGGAGTTCATAGTTTATGTACACATACATGTAAAGTAGATGCTCACAGGATACACATATACCATCTGAGCTGTATTTTTATTTCAATACACGCGTAATTAATTCCGCATGACTGAGTGCGTACACGTACGTGTCCACGTGTTTGGTGCAATGTGCACCTGTGCTTATCCTAGAATTGTGTAAGACGCAAGAGGAAGAACTGTTTTGATCTTGACGTGGGCGGGAATCCCGGGGGGTGGGGGTATATATCTCCCACATACTCTTTGAGGTGGGGGAGGGGATATGGGCTGTTGAATCAACCCCCGAGTTTTTTGGGGTGAGCCCAAAAGGGGGAATGTGATTAGTTTTTCGGACTTCCCAAAGACTAAAAATCAATGTCTCAATAAACATGTTTTGATACTAATGAACGTGACGTCCGTGATTTTAACCATCCACTGATTACTTCTTATTGACTCGAAACTGAGTAAGATTGGTGGCGCGGGTTGATTTCATTACTCCTATGTATCTGTTAGAAAATGAAATCGCCATTGGAAGCTAACAAATGACACCATGCACACGTCATCGGTGGTGTAGGTTCACTGACGTAAGTATGGTCGTTGCGAGGGGGAAAGATTCCGGAGGGAAAAAGGAAGAAAAAGACACAAGAAAGGAAAAGGGGAAGAAGGAAGATTGCTGTCCGAGCTCAACCAGCAAAAAGTATCTCCTGGAACCCCCTGGCAGTGGCAGCATCTTGTGTCTATGTTCATCTTGGACCAAGTTAGGCCTACAACGTTCCCTTTCCATTTAAAAACACTCATTTGAAAGCCTGTACCCTACCTCTATGACTGCACCATATTTCCTGCAGTTCAGACTCCTTAGCTCTTTCCCTGTTGTAGAAACGAATCTTCCAATGCTAGGCAAAAGTTTTAATTTTTTTCCCTTCGTGCACTCCCCACGGTAAAAGCGAGTCTACGTACTAATGTGAAGCCCGCAGCTGTGTCGAAGCCGATATTTAGAAAATGGCTTTGATTCGAAGCGCGCAGTTTTCAAACGTCGCGGCTCGCGCTCTGGGACTTTGTCCGAGCATGGAGCTATAAAACACGGCCCGAGTCACTTGGCTGCTGGTTGAAATTACACACGATTCATAGGAACTGGCTGTACCCACTAACACAGTCTCGCGCTTGATTTCAGGCCGTAGTCAGGTACATGTAATTCGAACCCAGCCCATAGAGATCATAAGCTTTACCATGATCTCCATCACCCAGCCTGGCTCTTCAACAGCTGTCGAGAGCGCCCTCAAGCTTTAGCTGCCTCTGTCCTTTTTTCTTAGCCATTATCATTTAACTTTACAGAAACTATTATGCACACCGTGCTCTCTATTCAGCCAAGCTAAATGCAGGAAGCCAACTTAAAAAAAAAACCACACACACACAGTGAATTTTCCATAACTAATTTTGTTTGTTTATTTGGAGTTTTTGGTGCGAATTCAATTTTGAAAGAGATAAAGCGGGTAACCTTCAGCTTTTAATACTGTAAATCCCAGTGATCAGATATGAGAATACACGAGGAAAAATAAAACGCCTAGGAACCTGAGATATGAGAGACAGATTTCTATTCAGAAGTCAAACTTCCAAACAGGCTGAACAGGGCAAAACGCCAGAACTATTCTGTGAGTGCAGTACAGGGAAGTAGATAGTAAAAAAAAATCTCAAATTTTTCAGCAGATGTGGCTTTCTATGCATCAAAATAGCTGCAATAAAAGAATAAGAAGAAACTGTACACCTACGCTTTAGGTGAGAACGTTGAAGGCTAGCCTGATTGGGTAGAGAGCGGTTCTCTACGAAGCCGTATTAAGGACATGGCGAAAAAGATTCTCTCCCCCTTGAGCTAACTCGTATGTACGACTTGTATGCCATACATACAACTTATATCTTGTACGTACCACTTATGAATCATAACTCGTACATACAACTTATGTCTCATACGTACGAGATATAAGTCGTATATACGAA